TGCTAGTTCAGGAGAAAGAGGGTTCTTGGGAGAAGGTGAGAAGCAGAAGGAACAGTAGGGTTGGCAGAGCTGAGGCTCACACCAAGCAGCCTTGCTTCCCTCCACACTAACCCCATCATGACCTGCCTCCTCAGAAACAGCTAGTGCCCAGGATAGAGCAACCTAGAAAACAACCAGTTCTTTAAGTTTTATTATTGAATAAATAAATCAATCCAGCTATCAAGAGCCCCTGAAGCCAATGTGGCCAAGTAAAGGATAGGAGAAGCCAGGAAAGCTTCAGTGAGAACAGGTAACAGGAGACGTGTTTACCACAGAAGAGAGACAAGGCTTCTAATACAAGCAGGCTGCTGCGCCACAAACATTCCCTATGGCCTGGTATGGCTGTATAGAGATATTTACACGTAGAGGCAGGGAGACGCCGATCCCTGGCTGGTGAACAATCAACTTTTATTCTCTCCAGACCAGCAAAGCCAAGATTTTAGTAAACACGCAACCCCAAAAATGTGCCTGCGGATTGGGTAGAGCAGAGCCCGTGCTCTCCCTGCCAAACAACAAAGCCCTTCTCCAGCGGGTGGTTTCACGGTGAGGTTTATGCGGGGGAGGAAGTGTTTCTAGTGGTCAAGGCAGGGAACAGGGGTTTAGGAGACCTGGCTCCCATCCCTGGCTCTAAGCAAAGCAGGAGAGCTCTCACTGCAGCCACTGTGCACACTTGCAGGAGTCACTAGCCCGCTGCTCACCTCTCCTTGTTCAGGAGCAGGCAAATTGTTCCTGTGCAGCCTCTGAGGAGTAACAGAGACTTTTCCCCAATCTTGGTAACACTTCCTGACTTTGCAGGGTTACTGTGGAGCTTCTGTGATTGATGCCTGAAGGACTGTCAGACCTTTTTGGAAGAAATATCTCTGGAAGGTATTGGAAGACGTGCACATGCGAGCGCAGACACGTGAAAGAGAGACATGCAGCTCACACACACTCTCTCTTCACCTCCACACTCGCAAGACTCCATCCAAACTTACTGGTTCTGCTACTCATGCATTTAAACACTTGCGAGATGAGTCCGCGGAAAACCTGTGGTTTAAAGCCAAGTAGCCAACACCATAGCCTAACAGATGCCCTGACAAAAACCTAGCCCACCTCCCTGGTTGCCCAGACACAGCCCAAGGCTCTGCCTTTTGCTTACAAAATTAGGCAAATGGTGCAGGCACACTGAAAGCCTATAGCAGATACTACCCAGCTCTGCTCAGTTCTGGCTGGCTGGCATCTCTGACCTCCCTCGGCCTTTGCATTGTTTTCTCTTCACTTCATCCACAGATGTCATTAACATGCTGTTTACCCCCTCTTCCAGCTCATTAATGAAGACACTAAAGCAGACTGGACCTCACCCTGATCCCTGTGGCATGTCATTATATAAACACCCCCTTGAAAAGTTCCCAACAACCTCTTATGCATGAAGGTCTGTTATCTTGAGGTGTGCATAGCTATTAGAGCTAATGCCTTCACCTGTCACAGTTTATTTGTGGTGAACCCCACAGGGAGAACCCACTAACTGCACTGATAGTTAAAAAAAAAATCAAAGAAGGAAGGAATGTCACACTGTCATACAGGATGTCTCTGTGTTTAGTGGGCATGTGTGCCTGTTGGGTTTCTCTGTTTACAATATTTCATCCAGCTTTTGTTTTTACTTCCTGTCCCAAATTGATCTGGATGCTGCTAATTTTTTTTTAATCTTCTCTTACCTGGTTGGCTGCATTTCAGAAATAGGTGGCAGGAGTCAATCGCAGTGGACCAGCGTAAAATGTTGTAAGATACTTCCCTCAAGTGGAGGGAAAAAAAATCACTCAAGTGTGTGTCACACACTCTGTAGTCTATCATCTACCTCAGATAACATAAAGATAACTAGAGATGGACACCTACATGAAGCAGAATCCTCCAACTTGCTTGAAAGGTGCTAGCAGCATAGAAAAAATATCAAAGTGATACTGCAAACTAAACTTTCTTACTCTGCAAACGTCAGGGTATAAAAGAAGACACCCAGCCACCCTTTGCATCAGATACCAAAGGGGCATATGCTTTGACAACCAACCAAGTTAGTACATGGACGGCTAATGTATATCCATAGCCAGATTTTGAAAATGGCTTAAGTCTCAGCTGAGGCGAGCGTGAAAAGTGCTCCTACGTGACATTTCAGGACAAATGGAAGAGGCTACAATCTGCTTAGAAGAGCAGATTGGAATGCACTGCTTGAGCAGTGGAATACCTGAGTCCTGCAGAACAAAGCTTTTATGCCTACCAGAGCCTGCAGCAGGGCTGCCAGGGATAGACAAGAATGGAATGAACCAGATATAGATTGCGGTCGGTTGGTAGAGCTGGTGTGGGTGGTATCTATACTCACCCTGAGGCTGATGTCTGATCTCACGATCACTGTTTTCCTCAAAAGAAGCAATGAAACATGAACAAAGAATTCAGATTGAACTGCAGTTTTACTGTTATGAAGATAGCAGCTTAGCTCCAGTCTCTTCTGTATAGACTGAAGAGGAGAACATTTCATCACCTGCAAACTCAAAGAGAGAAGAGGCGCTTAGCACGAGGCAGGATTTGTCTCTGTAACTGATCAGTGCAACAATGGGAAACACAAACCATCTATTACTGGAAATGAATTGTGCCATCAAGGCAGATGCCTGCAATTATTTCTGTTAAATATTATGTTTCATTAACTGTAAAATATATAATTAATAAACTCCCCCCTCATTTTTGTTAAGTTTCACTGCAAAGACCTTATTACAGAAATAAATCTTTCTAGCAGCGCACGTCAACAGAATAGCAGAAGGTGTATGCCTCTGTGTATGTGATAATTTCCTTATGGGAAACTGAATTACTAGGGAGGAATAATCACCTCTCTTCGTGGTTAAGACTGTAGATACACCCCACTCTGAGACCAGTTGTTTAAGCTCATGCCTCTTGGAAGCAGACAAGAAGAGACTGCTCTGGCTGGCAAAGATGACTTGATCTGAAAGCGTTCTGGCAAGTGCAAGGCTTTCTTTCACTGGCAAGTCTGGAAAACAAAAATTAAATACATTTTTGATTCACAGTCCATTAAAAAATTCCTCTAACTATAAAGATGCTCAGAAAGATCTCCCTGGTTAGGCGGTTACTCATATTCCTTTACAGCACTGTATTCATCCATCTCATAATACAGTACTAGGACAGCGTAACAGTAATTTGCTTTCCGTATACATTAGAAGTGTTTTGATTTGGGGATATTTGGTGATGGCTGTTAAACCATTCCAATTAGAAATGCTTAAAAAATGCTGCTGAAATTTCACTCCAAGCATAAAAATTCCCCTTAGAGTTTGTCTCCACTTGTGATCTTTACCTCAAGTTGATTGCCAGTTCACCAAGGGTAATTAAAATATCTCTACAGGCTGTTCTGGGCAATCCTTTTTGCCTTGCTGCAGGCTACAAATGCTCATGGTTTGCCCTAGGCTGGTGCTCATCCCTGCCTGAGTTGGCACAAGCAGCACCGCATGCCAAACAAGGAGGAAAGCCTGCTCAATCAGGATTCTCCCCTCCAAGGCAGAGGGGACCAAGAGACCAGCGGTGGAAGGAAAGGCTCTACACGCACGCGTGCGCACGCACACGTGTACAAGCACTCACTGGCTAGACGGAGATGTAACTTCTGCGCCTGGAGAAGACAAAAGAATGTAGAGGGGAAGAGGACTAGAAGCATTTTAATGAACGCCTGTTATCTCCCTGCTTTTCAAGAGTCTAGATGCCCTTTGATTGCCAGTCTCAGCATAGATTAGCTTCCTAGAGAAGGAGAGAGGTCCTCATCTTAACTGGTGTTTGGAGAAGAGGAGAAGCTTGGAGAGGGAGAGGGTCTCATTTCCTGGTCATCCATTACAAATTTGACACCCCATTCTGCAGTCTTTGGCAAACTGAGCAGGGACAGCAAGAATTCCTTGGGCCACATTTGCTGGGAACTCTCCAGCCCCTGCCTTGCAGCAGGCCAGGTCTCTAAAAGCTATATGGGATAACCTTGCCCACATAGCCTAAAGAAAGGGGCCCATTCTCCTAATAGTTCTAACTATCAGTTTAAAACGTTATAAAAGGCAACCAATATGACTATGTAGAAATTTTAGAGTCAGCAAATTATCTAGTTAAATGATGCATGTACAAATACTAATTCAATAGCAACTGAAACCTTCCTAAATTTGTTCTTATCTAAAGATGATAACCGTATACAAGGAAGAAAATAGAGAGGATGAGAATACTGTGTTCCTGCCCTTGCAGAAAAAATTATGAGACTATTTTAGATATCACCTATACGAATAACATCTATATGATGTTATACAAATAGCATGGTTTGAGAGTGAGTTTAGAAGTACTGGAATGGAAGTTCTGAAGTCCTGTTATATAACTGTGTGTCCAGGTTTCCCTCTAAAGCAGGGAATCACATATCAGCCCACTTCTATCAATGTGTCTCTCGGCATAAACTTGATATACAATAGTAAAATTATACTTTTGTATACAAACATGTAATTATACTTTACGGTATGACACTCACACTCCTATCCCTCAATAGGGATAGGTACCTCTTCATGCATAAGTACCGTCTTTGCAGACAACCAGGTATTATTTCATTCCATACAATCCTTGCTGGGCCAGATCAGGAATACTGGAAAGCAAAGATGGAAAAGTTAAGCAACTTAACTCTCTGGCTCTTTGGCTGCAGAAGGAGGAGGGAGCAAGGAGGCTAAGCATCTGGCTTTCCTGCCTCTCTAACAGCCTGGCGGGAAGGCTGCTGTCAATTCTGCCTTCTGCCTTGTTGGAAGAAAGCAGAAGTGACAAGAGGCCTTTCTGGCAGGCAGCCAGGAACCAGAAATTCAATTGAGCTGCCTCCTGAAACTGGACTTTTTTGGAGACCCTTTCCCTGAAATTGCTTTGCCTTTAAAAAATTTTTGTCACGGTTCAGGGCCAATTCATCACTCTCGGTCTCCTGGCTCTCCTTTCCTTCAAAAAAGCATGATTTGCACAAAAGGATTTCTATTTTCTGGACCGCTCTACAACCAGCCTCTCCCATAATAAATACATATGCACATAAATATGCCCACACCCGCACACACAGATACAAATGTTGTTATTTAGAGATACGCACATCGCCATACACAGATAAATATATGGGTGCGTATCTTTGCTATATAGCATGCAGGGAGAGAAGTAATGCTGCAGCTGAAGTCACTCTGCACTCGTTGATTAGAAAACAGAGTGTGGGACATACGCTCCATCTCTAGGGCTTAAACCAACTGGTTATTGGCTGGTGCTGTTGTTCCTCTAACAAGCCCCTGGATATATCACTGTGGCTGTAGAGAAATGCAGCTGAAAGAGCCTTTCACTGTCAGCAGCAATCTGTCACTGCATGTATCTTACCCTGCCCCTTACAGCACAAAAGCTTCTGAGCTGCAAGTCAGTGTTAGGAGAAAGGTCATTTTGCAGGTAGGCTGTGGTATTTTTCTTTATTTCTGGGAATGCCGTGGCCAGCTTGAGGCACCGTCTGGATGCTGCAGCATGAATTGCAGCTTCACATATGCCTAGCTATAATTTAAGACAAGGGAGCATTTCCATTACAAACCCCATTTTTTTCCCATGGATTTATATCTTAGCTATTTGGCTCCACTTTGGGGTGGACCTCCACTGAATACATTCATAGGCAGGGAGCAACTATTTTTCTTGTACAACATCTAAATCCAGCTCAGCCTCTTTTGGTTATAAGACGGTGAAGGAAATTACGTATGCACACAAACACTCACAAGCACATACAAAAAGCTTACACAAACATATGCCTGCAGAGAGATCTGTTACAAAAAAAAGAAAAGCCAGTGCAAATAAGCTCAATTTTAGTGAGTGAATTAAGTTGACTGACTTTATTATTTTAAATTATTAACAAGTTCCGGCAAACTTAGAATGCAATAACCATACTCAGGCTTTCATCTACCGTAACTGGAAGCAGATAATATATACTGATATAAACGATATCAGTATAAATCTGTGATAGCGAAGTCGGGGGCAGAAGCCTGACACGTGATGAGCCCCTCTCCTAGCGGTGGGGTATTAACAACTACTGCATGATTCTCCTCCCCTGCAATGTTCCCGTGTAACGAATCACCTTCGGACAATGCAGAACCCCCATATTTTCATCAACGCCAGCTGAAACCTGACCTCCACAGCACTCAAATCCGTTTATGACTTGGTCTGGCTTACTAAGTCTGTTTTGGGTTTTTTGTTTTAACTCTTTATCGATTCTACTTTGATGCAGTCACATAAAGCCCACTGACAGAAGCAATTTATGTTGGCTAGTGCCTCCACAGCATATATAAAGAGAGGTTAAGCACCCTGCAAGTAACATAAGGGTTATCCATTTATACTGAGCTTACTAGTTTCATTCAATCCATCTCCACGACTGAGATTAGGAACGACTTCCTGTCTCTCCCACTCACAAGCAGAAATAGTTACCATTCTCTCTCTACATATCACTTTCTAATGCCACAGAGAAAAGTCTGGAGATGCGAGAAGGATTCTCCCACTGTTACGGCCTCAAAGTCAGGCTGCAGTTTAGAGGGGAAGAAGCTGCCAGCGCCCGCTGAAAGCAGACTGGCATTCCCCTACTTCCTACTGCAGAGAAACCCATCCTGTGGCATCACAGCTGGCACAGCGGCCACCAGTATGAAGTGCAGGGCTCCAGTGGGCCAGCCATAACCCCCAGCTGGCCAGGCTCAGGATCGCTCCGCCAGCTGACCAGCTTGCAGAGCCACCTCTCCCTCTCCAGTGTCCAAAACAGTTGCCTGTAGCTCCCTTGCTTTGAACTTGAGGAGCCTAATGCAGATGCTGAAAGCTGGGATAAGACGAACCCGAGCTAGATGGGCCAGCCCCACTGGTAACTGTTGCCTTTCCACTGGCCCTGACCACTTACTTGTGTAGATGGAGTTACTGAATGAAGAAGAACAAGACGTAGGAGAGGTTTCCTGAGAACTCCACATCTCTGCCGAGGGATAGCACTGGCAGAGTGCTCTGGGTGGAAACGTAAGATGTCCCTATTCACATCTGCTGCACGGAGCCCAGCCTGGAGCCCACAAGAGCCTCCGTGCAGACAGAAAGAAGAGCTCAGCTCCCCCAGTACACTAGATTTAAAAACGGAAGAAGGATCCTGGCTGTACTATGGGTTCCCTGTGTAACCTGCTACAGGCTCCATTGCCTTTTTGGGCCTCATCTCCCCACCGGTGAAATGGGGATGTTAACCTTTCCCTTCCTCATTGCAGCACTGTTATAACAACAATATTAATGCAAATCATTCCAATGCCAAGAAAAGCCAGATTAGGCAGCCAGGAATATTATGGATTCATCCCATCAGGTGGAGATGCTGTGGCTATCCTCAAGATGATGCAGCCTTCCCTTTTCTTTTCTTTGTTTCAAACCCAGAGTTTTCCCTTGTGGCTGGAGAAACACTGAGTGAGAACATCATTCAGGAAAGCTGTTTAGTGAAACCCCTAGCATCTGGTGAATCCTAAGTGCAACATAATAGTTTTCTTTAATGAGAGCTTCTTGCTAAGAGGACAGGGCAACTGGGCAGAGGAGAATAGCTGAGAGCTGCAGAGCCTGGAAAAGTGAACTCAATTTAGCCACAGAGCAGTTTAAAGTTCCTGCTGCATTTTTCATCTAAGTACAGCAAATCCCCCCGCCAAGCAACAGCCCAGGTGGCCGTAAATACTGAAATGCTAACTGTACGCGCGGCGTGCGTATCTTAGAGAGGGTGTGCAGACAAGCATAGCAGGAGAGCAGCTGAAAGCAAAGCAGACTGTCCTGCCAGGGAGGCAATGCCACCTGTCACCAGCTCCGGGGAGCTGGGCCCTGCTGCGGGAAGGCTCTGGAGGCACGTGAGAGTGGCTGGATTCTCACTCATTCAGAGCCTCCTGCAGTTACCAAGCAGTGATAGAGTTTCACACTTCATCTGCTGGAGCCCAGGGCAGGGGGATCTCCAGAGAAGGTGCTCAGGAGCTT